GGTGAGGTCCCAGACCAGCAGCGACTTGTCGCGGGAGCCGGACACGATGTAGGGCGAGTTGTCGATCGGCGCGGCGATCGCCGTCACCACGTCGTTGTGGCCGCGCATCGTGCCCGCCAGGGCGAGCGACTCCTGCATGTTCGCCATGGCTGCCGCGGGGAGATTGGGGCGGCGGAGCTCGCGGCGGGGGGGTGGCGGCGGCGGTGAAGGGGGGGAGGGTTGGGAGAGAAGAGGGCCGAGATGGAACGGGGAGGATTTTATAGTCTGGAGAAGGTGCGGCTAGGGTTTTGCAGGATCGGAGATGTGGCGCTTGGATGGTGGATGGGAAGATCGCCACCGTTCGTTGCGTATGATAGTCTTTTCCTCTAAAATGGATGATAAATTTTAGTAGAGAAAATTACATGCTGATTTTTTTTGCGGATGATTTAGGAGTGAGAAAAGATCTGATTTGGATGTTATTGTTCTGTGTGTATATTACGTGAAAAATCTGAAAGTTGCAAAATTATGGAAAAAAAATTGAACCAAATATGAAAAAATATTCATGGCAATGTGATGATTTTATACATGTTTGACCGGTCAATTTGTGCGTAATAATATGGACGCCGACAACGCCCACACATGTGGGCGTTAAGGGGTCTGCCCACACAGTTTGCGTGGTGTTTAAGAGGATCAGCCCACACGCCTACGTGTGGGCAAAACAAGTAATGCCCACACGCCTCTTTTTTTTCCTCGCGGTCCCTCTCACATGCCTGCGAGTGGGCAAAATAGATAGCGCCCACACGCCTGTACATCAGGCCTCCTACCTTATGATCCCGCACGCCCCGTGTGACAGTCACCAGCATCCCCGCAGTTGCCATGGTATGAACCCTCTTCCATGTTCATTTAACTGCAGTTGCCATGTCGCTGAACTACAGTTGTCATGTCGGACAACTACAGTTGCCATGGTTGCTCAACTGTAATTGCCATGTATGATCTAGTCTACTGCAGTTGCCATGATTTCAAAACTTTAGGAGTTGCCACCTACTAACACTAGTCAGTTGAGAGAGTTGCCATGTGCCCACAAGCACACTAGGGCAGTTGCCATGTAAAAGGAAGAGTTGTCATCTGCTTACGTGCACGGTAGGGCAGTTGCCATGTACCATGCAAAAAACATGGCAACTCGGGTAAAAAAGAGTTGTCATCTGCTTACGTGCACATTAGGCAGTTGCCGTGTACCCTGCAAAACACATGGCAACTGACATGTTCGGATAAAAAAAGAGTTGCCATCTACTTACAAGCATACTATGGCAATTGCCATGTACACTGCAAAACACATGGCAACTAGCAGGTTGGGTGTGGGTGAGGAGACGGGAGTGTGGGAGAGATGGCAAATGCCCACACACCAGCCCTTGTGTGTGAGTGAAAACTGGCGTGCGGGCGAACTGCTAAACGCCCACACACCGGTCCCTCCGTGTGGTGAAACGGACGTGTGGGCGACCGGGTGAATGCTCACACACCAGCCCAGTCCTACGTGGCACCACAAACATGCCAAGATTCGTGCACCCACAAACGGATACGGATCCACGTGTATGGGCGAGATGCAAACGCCCAAATTTGTGGGCGTTAGTGTTTTCGAATAATATTGCTAGGAAATTAAAAATCCACATATTATAAACGGGATTGTTAAGTCTCAGTCGATGCTATGTTTGTGGATCTTACGTGGAGATCTGTGCATTTTTTTCCTTTTAGTTTTCTTTTTTTCTTACTTACATGTTATGTCACTTGACTTAGACTCTAGCCATACCCTATCAGAAAAAAATGGTAGTGGCAGCACTTGATTTTAAATGTGGAAGATCATGTTCAAAAAATTCTATGGTGACTAATTCTATTGTAATGCTTCCTCGGGTGTTCCTCCCCGTTCAGGTGGAGGTGCTGACAATCAACTTGTGTTACATGGATCTGGTCAGGTGGTGCCGCCTAGGTCGTTGCCTAAACAAGACCTCGAGAGGACTAAGACAACTCAATTGCACAACAAAAACAAAAAAAATGTGTCAGTATTGGTGGCCTCCTAGCAGGAACACTAGCGAGACCAATGAATCTACTCAGTTAGAACTGTTGGAGGCTCCCGGACAATTCTTGTGCTCGAGACTTTGGTACGGTCGCATTCCCTCGAGATTGTGTTTCTTTAGGAGACTAGGTAGAAAGAATAAAATATGAAAAGGTTGAGATTACAAATTGGACTCTGAAGCTTTTCTAACATTGATGGTAATGGCTTGAGAGGACCATAAGCTTTGTATTGGCATGAATCTTTGATGGTGGGTGTTAAAGATAAAGTTGATTGCTATATTGATGTTCTTGATTGCACCTCAGACTCAGATCCCTTATGGCGTTCAACGTGTGTTTATGTTGCGCCAGGAGTGAAGGATAGCCATCTCACGTGGCCTAAAATGCTTGACTTGAGCACTTCTCGGCCACACCAAGGGCAGAACCGCATTGGAGGCCTTTTTAGATACCTTGGAACTATGTTCTCTAATAGATTTGGGCTTTTTAGGAGTTCGCTATATATATAAGGTGCCACCGGTATGAGATCATTTGGGAGAGGGATCCTGCTCTTCCAAAAGTTATACAAGCTTCATGAGATGCTTTCGGTAAGAAAAATAATCTTGGATATATTGAGGTTGCTCTAGGTAGTACCATAAATTCCATGTACAAGTGGAGTGACAAAACATTGGCAACATTATGATGGAGCCCCCAAAACCATGCAATCAAATTGTACATTTGTTGTATATGAACGCGGATATGAAGTAAATTCAAATAGTGGACGACTGGATGAATGAATTATTATATAAGGAAGAAATGTCGTGGCTCCAGAGGTCCCCGATTGCATGGTTTTGAAGGAAATATGCCCTAGAGGCAATAATAAAGTTATTATTTATTTCCTCATATCATGATAAATGTTTATTATTCATGCTAGAATTGTATGAACCAGAAACATAATACATGTGTGAATACATAGACAAACATAACATCACTAGTATGCCTCTACTTGACTAGCTCATTAATCAAAGATGGTTGAGTTTCCTAACCATAGACATGTGTTGTCATTTGATTAATGGGATCACATCATTAGAAGAATGATGTGATTGACTTGACCCATTCCGTTAGCTTAGCACTTGATCGTTTAGTATGTTGCTATTGCTTTCTTCATGACTTATACAAAGTTCCTACAACTATGAGATTATGCAACTCCCGTTTACCGAAGGAACACATTGTGTGCTACCAAACATCACAACATAACTGGGTGATTATAAAGGAGCTCTACAGGTGTCTCCAAAGGTACATGTTGAGTTGGTGTATTTTGAGATTAGGTTTTGTCACTCCGATTATCGGAGAGGTATCTCTAGGCCCTCTCGGTAATGCACATCACTATAAGCCTTGCAAGCAATGTAGCTAATGAGTTAGTTACGGAATGATGCATTACATAACGAGTATAGAGACTTGCCGGTAACGAGATTGAACTAGGTATTGGATACCGACGATCGAATCTCGGGCAAGTAACATACCGATGACAAAGGGAACAACGTATGTTGTTATGCAGTTTGACCGATAAAGATCTTCGTAGAATATGTAGGAGTCAATATGAGCATCCAGGTTCCGCTATTGGTTATTGACAGAAAACAGTTTTAGGTCATGTCTACATAGTTCTCGAACCCGTAGGGTCCGCACGCTTAAGGTTTCAATGACAGTTATATTATGAGTTTATGAGTTTTGATGTACCAAAGTTTGTTCGGAGACCCGAATGATATTACGGACATGACGAGGAGTCTCGAAATGGTCGAGACATGAAGATTGATATATTGAAAGCCTATATTTGGATATCAGAAGTGTTCCGGGTGAAATCGGGATTTTACCGGAGTACCGGGAGGTTACCGGAACCCCCCGGGGGCTTAATGGGCCTACATGGGCCCTACTGGAGAGGAAGAGAGGAGGCAAGGGGCTGGCCGCGCCCCCTCCCCCCTAGTCCGAATAGGACAAGGAGAGGGGGGCGGCGCCCCCCCTTTCCTTCCCCTCTTCCTCCTCCTTCCCCCCTTCTCCTTCTCCAACTAGGAAAGAAGGGGGTCCTACTCCCGGTGGGAGTAGGACTCCCCCTTGGCGCGCCCTCCTTGGTTGGACGCCCCCTCCCCCTTGGCTCCTTTATATACGGGGGCAGGGGGCACCTCTAGGACACAACAATTGATCTCCAAGATCTCTTAGCCGTGTGTGGTGCCCCCCTCCACCATGGTCCTCGATAATATTGTAGTGGTTCTTAGGCGAAGCCCTGCGACTGTAGAACATTAAGATCGTCACCACGCCGTTGTGCTGACGGAACTCTTCCCCGACACCCTGCTGGATCGGAGTTTGTGGATCGTCATCGAGCTGAACGTGTGCTAGAACTCGGAGGCGCCGTAGTTTTGGTGCTTGATCGGTCGGGCCGTGAAGACATACGACTACATCAACCGCGTTGTTCTAATGATTCCGCTTTCGGTCTACGTGGGTATGTAGACAACACTCTCCCCTCTCGTTGCTATGCATCACCATGATCTTGCGTGTGCGTAGGAAATTTTTTGAAATTATTACGTTCCCCAACAGTGGCATCCGAGCCAGGTTTTATGCTTAGATGTCATATGCACGAGTAGAACACAAGTGAGTTGTGGACGATACAAGTCATACTGCTTACCAGCATGTCATACTTTGGTTCAGCCGTATTGTGAGATGAAGCGGCCTGGACCGACATTACGCGTACGCTTACGCGAGACTGGTTTCACCGTTATGAGCACTCGTGCTTAAAGGTGGCTGGCGGGTGTCTGTCTCTCACTTTAGTTGAACCGAGTGTGGCTACGCCCGGTCCTTGCGAAGGTTAAAACAACACTAACTTGATGAACTGTCGTTGTGGTTTTGATGCGTAGGTAAGAACGGTTCTTGCTCAGCCCGTAGGAGCCACGTAAAATTTGCAACAACAAAGTAGAGGACGTCTAACTTGTTTTTGCAGGGCATGTTGTGATGTGATATGGTCAAGACGTGATGCTATATTTTATTGTATGAGATGATCATGTTTTGTAACCGAAGTTATCGACAACTGGCAGGACCCATATGGTTGTCGCTTTATTGTATGAAATGCAAACGCCCTG